GCTTTCAATCCTTCGCTTGAAATTGTCCATCACTCAGGCCAACAGCTATTGATCAATCATGTGCACTTCTTGTCAGATGGCATCCTTCAATCTGTTCAAAGTACTGGGTTTGTGAGTGTACACACGGCTCCTCAGGTACCACCATAGGAAGAAATCACATGATGACAAGTCAGGAGACCTTGGGGGCCATGGCACATTGCCGAAATGAAAATAGCTGCTGCATTGTCATGATAGACTCACCACTTCGAACAAAGCTGTCATAAGAAAGCAAATGATGTTGGAACATCCACTGCTCCACTGTGACTGAATTGGCATTCTAGTGGGGGTGGGGTGGGGTGGGAAGATGCCTATCTCGTCTCCCTTCCATCACTACTTACCGTGTACTACCTGTTCTAAAAACATCCGACTCCCGTCGGTCACCCTGTATAATACTGTCCAACATTGAAAATACTACCATAGTATGTTTAACTCTTATGCCTTTCATCTCCAACTCCTGTGAACTTTCTATGAAATATGACATGGCCCTGATCTAGACTGCCATGGAGTAAGCCCCATTAACACATCTCCAGCAAAATTATTTTCGTTGTCATCATTTAGACAAAACAATTTTTTACGCAGAATAAAGGAAATTATAAGGTGGTAAACAAGAATGAAAAGTTTTAAAACCCAGAGGGAGGGAATGCTAGTTTATCTTGCTGATGAACAAATATATGTCCTGACTAATTTTTGGTAGAATCCTATGTATGTTTAGACTAACAATCCTACAACCAACAGCATGCTAGGAATCATGGCTGGTTGTTGCAAGACCACTTTCTGTCTAAACAGGCATAGGATTGTGCTCTTTCTCAACTGAAAGAGTATCATTGCTGCTTTGTAATATATTTTTTGCACAATAGCTGAATTAGGCAGGAAGGTCTTAGCAGGTATGAGTAAGGCAGTTTGTATACTCCTTCATATATGAATGTTAAGAGGACAGCATATTTTATTGGTCATGTTTCAGCATGGGATTGTGGCATACATATGAACCATGCTCTTGTTCATGCCAGAAATATATGGCCAGGGTCAGGGCACAGTGTATTAAACAGCTGACAGAACTGCACATAGGCTGACAATCTGCCCATTAACTGGGATGTGGTGGGGTGGCTTTATTCAACCCACTAACATCCCTGGGAATGTTATTTTTGTGTTGCAAGTAAAGCTCTCTTGTGCCTGACAGAGGATCAGGCACAACAGGAGTTTTGCCCCTCTTCCTTTCCCACTCGGTGCAGTATCCTACGCAGCAAGACAACCGCAGCCGCAAGCTGGCTGCTATCCACTTTCCTGCCCAATGTTCCTGCTGATGCCAGCAAAGCAGGATAGCTTGTGAGTGCTGTGTGGGGAAGCTGGAGTGGGGGATGAAAAGGCAAGGGTTGCCTCGTGTCGCTCTCAGAAGCCCAACATGAGGAGATATCCTTGCTCAGCTGTGGTGCATTGCAGCTGAACAGCAGGGAGGCTGCTCAAGAAAGGTAAGCAGTGTGGCCCTACCGCTCTTCCTAAGCCCTGCCTGCACTCCTCCTTGGAAAAGGGGAGGTACACACAGGGAAAGCAACAGGGAGGGACAAGCTGCATTGAGATGTCTGTGAAAGGACAGCACCAGGCAGTTCATGCCCTGCTGTGGTTGGGGAAGCACTGGCTCTGCTGAGCAACAGGAAGGCAGGACACCTCCCACTCTATCTTTCTAGGAGGGAGTGGAAAACAGGACAGAGGTGGCTAAGCTCCTATTGAAGAAGGAAGCAGAGCAGCTCATTCCTGCCTGCCACTGCATGGCAGCCGATGGGATCCAAGGTGGGATGCTACTTTGCCTCATTTCTTTGCAAGGAAGTGAGACCCAGAGGCTGATTCTTCTGCTGCATGCTCCCACCCCAGGCCCTGGGGAGACTGCAAAATCCAGTGGCTTCCTTTGAGCTCCTGCTGATCCTTGTGAGCAATCCTGCACTTCCTCCTACATCAGCAGGAACCTGGGGGAAACTGTCATTACGTAGAGCTTCTTGACCAGATTAGTGCTATTAGGACTCTACTAATATTTGGCTTGATTATGGCTTAGTGTGTCATCTGGGTTTGACCAATTAGCTCACAGCAGGCAAATTAAGCCCCCAAGCAAGCCATGGGTAACTGGGGAGGATTATAAACTGTTCTAGGCTGGCTTCCAAACTGCCCCAGTGCTTGGTTCAGACATGTTAGGGTACTGTGGGTTGAAATATTTTGCAAACCCAGTAACAGGCTAGTTGCTTAGATTGCCATGCCCCTTGACATATGGTGCTTTCTTTCTGACTACTTGCTTATATATTCAGCCCAAAACAAGCACACAGAGATGGTTTCCTGCCTTAAGGTGCAAAGTGTGGGTTATGTTCTGGATCTATTTCCTGATTTTCAGCATGCACCTCAGCCCTCTGCCACATTTTTTCATACTTCAGAAACTTAATTATAAATCAACGGTCCAAATTGATTCACATGAATGATGTAAATTTAAAAAGTAAACAAATTATTTTTGTACAAGGGTACAACAATAAAAAAACTTTCCTGAGTATTGGCCTAGATTTTAGCTAGTTTTCTAAGATACCATGTAGGGTATTTCTCAAGGGCAGGACCAAACCACTGTTATTTATTTTGTCAGCATTTTATATTAAATACTGTTGTGTGTTCACAGCTCACATTTTAAAAGGGAATATTTTGGAATGAATGCAGTCAAATCTCCAGTTGTTTGTTATTTTTGGCTGGTACCAATTTATTGGTACTGTATTACATTTAATTTTCAAACCACCTCTCTAAATTCCAAAATAGCCAGCATGAAATCTGAGCATACTTTTCCATGTGCTGCAACAGTACTCAGAAGGTTTGTGTTCTGTGGATTAACCAGCTATAAATCATCTTTCATAGTTTCTGTTAAGCCCATGCTCTTCTGTAAAAGCAAACAGATCAAATAACTATATTTGGATCTGAAAGTATCTACAGGGGCAAGGGAGAATGTATTCTCCGTCTGAGGTTATAAATTCATTCTAGTGCCAAACTGGTGCAATTATGTTATGAACCTATTATGCTATGAATATGCAACATTTATTTATAAATGCATCATGCATTATCACTATTTCAGTTTTATTTAATGAGTTTTTATATTGCATGATCTTCCACCAGGTTCAAGAAATAAAGCACTATTATTCCAATGTTGTGAATGGGAAATGAAGGGCAAAGCTTTGTCTAAAGGGCTTTCACCATGCATAATTTAATATTGTAGATCATTCAGAATAAACAACCAAAATCCCAGCTTTATGGAGTACTCAAACAATAAATTGGTCACTGACATGTTCATGCATGGTTTTAGAAAGGAGAGACAGGCCATCTCCCATTGCTTTTCCAATGTTATGGGTAGATTGCTACCTCTCCCCACAAAGCTTACATGCAGCTCCAGGATGCAGAAATAAAAGGTCCCAGTGTAAAGTTTTAAATACACAATAGTAACTTTAGCTGACAATTGCTGATCATAAACCACAAATATTTTATTTTAAAAAAAAATCAGCCCTGGGTGGATTTACTTTCCACCCATTAGAAACTCTCATTCACAAATGTGCTTTAAATTTACAAAGCAAGAGTGGATATGAAAGGGCTTTTAATGGTCAGGTACAATTAATCTGTTTTAAGAAAAAACGAGTTTGCTGTCTTTCTTAAGAACATATTATGGTCCATTAAGCAACTCAGCAATTATTAGGTGGGGCACCAGAAGCTGCTTAGTGGTTCATTAGTGGACCAGTAAACCTTCTGCAGGAAAAAGAGCCCTTAAAAGAAATACTTCAGTACCTTCTTCTAGATCATTTTATGCCTACTTTCCTGGTAGGAACCCCAATTCTACATACTGGTTTTTACTTGTACATAAACAAGTACAGAAAGTAACTTTCCCAGACTGTACATAGAGACTACACCAGTTCTCATTAAAATCTAATAAAATCTCCATAACTTTGCTTCTTTATGAAGGAAAGTATCATAAGAAAGATACTGTGCAAACAAGGAAAAAGAAGTCTTGAGCTGAGTAAGACAAAGATTTCTTTTTTAAACACAACTGAGCTGAGGAGCCTCCATGCTCTATTTGCCTTAACGCCGAGTGCAGTTATGAATGCTTGCTACTTCTTGTTTGAACTGAAAAGTACATTACAGTACAATCCAATGTACTTTTGCCTGGAACAGGAAGCAAGTCCAATTTGGCTGAGTCCAATGGTAGCTAAACGTGTCTACTCCAAATAGAATTAACAGTAGAGACAACCCACTGAACTCAACAGGGCTTACTTCAACGTACATAGGCAACACCAGCTTTCTGCTGCAAAACGCAGCAGATGCCATGCAGCGTCTCCGCCTAACACGGAGGTGCTGCATGATTAGTTAGTTGCACTTGCTGGATTCCTGACTGTCGGGACGCTCGTGAAGGAGGCGCGGGAGTCCTCTTGCTACCACAAGGCAACCCCGGAACCGGCGAGCGCTGTACTTGATCCAAGGAGATGAAGCGAGTGCGCTTCGTCTTAAGGAGAACAGCTGCCCATCCCCGCCATCAATGGCACCTCTGGCCTCCCCGGGCTGCCTCCAGCCCCGACTATCCCTCACCGGAAAACTACCGCGAGCCCGACGGCGCGGGACACATGAACAAGCAGCGCTAATATCGCGAGAACTCTGCGTTCTTTGCCTGGCTGTCACTCTTTCCCCATAGAGGCACAAAGGGTTAGAATTGAATTAAAAAGAGGAAAAGCTCCTGTCTTTGCTATCTTTTCTTGGAGAAGTCAGTGGGCGTCTGCCAAGAAAACGTGCTGTTTTCAGTGTCCACGGAATTCTCCACTGATAGTTATGGTGATAACTACCTTTCCCATCTGTGACTGGAAAAAAATGGTGCCCAAACGGCCGAGTTCTGAACACGAGTCTAAATATTATTAATCTATGGTAACTTCTTCTTGAAAGCAAAACAACTCTTCCCCCTTTGAAAGACTTGGCACTGAGGGAGGAGATACTCTCGCGAGAGTTCGCTGGCTGATTCCCGATGGAAGGGCGGCTGGTGCTGAAATCGTGGAAGAGACGGGAGCGGCGGTGGCTGGTGAGGGGAGCGTCACTTTATAGTCTTGCGCGGGAGTTTCGGGAGGGCGGGGAATTTCCTCCCCTTGGAATTGGAATGACGTTTGAGTTAGTCCTGTTGGTGCATGTGCCTCTTTTGCAGGAGACGCTGAATGGGCAGCTCTCCGCGTATTTTCTTGGGAGTAAATATCCTTCAAGTACCGGGGGGGGGGGGGGCTTTTCTCAGCGTACTTGTGTAGAATTGCGCAAGTAGCGGGGTATCCAATGTTCTGTTTGGAGTAGTCCCATTTAAGTGAATGATGCTTCAGTTACTGTAACATTGGCAGGGAGCTCAGGCATAGAGTCTAAATGTGGCCCTCTGAAGTTCTCAAGAAATCAGTGCCCCATTTCCTCAGCTCACCCTCCAAAAGGCTTTTGTGCATTTCCCCCCACTCTGAAAGTTTGACATGCATCTCCTAAGGCTTAGTTACTGACCGTACTAGCACATGAATGTGCTAGTACTTATTTATTACAAGTACATGTGGCCCCATTGCTTTTGCTTGGCCATGTGGCCCCTGAGAACTTACCTGAAATTGAATTCAGCCCTTGGACTGACAGAGTATTCCTAGTTCTAGAAAAGAGAGTGGCGGGGGGAGAGAGAATATGTGCATATGTTTCTGGGTGTGATTGAGCTGCATGAATTTCCGTTTGGAACATTGTCAATATTTGTGCGTTTCTCTTTAGGCATTGGAAAGCTAAGCTGAGTCCTGCTGGGGAAGTAAAAATAGCATGCATCTTTGGTATCTTTTAAATAACTAGTATATGTTGTTGTTGTTATGTGCCATCCAGTTATCTCTGGCCGGTGGTGACCCTATGAAGGACACCCCTTCAACATGTCTTATCCAAGACATCCCTGCTCAATTCTTGCAAATAGTACAAGACACATAGGTGTAAATAAGCTGAAAATGCAAAAAAATACTGTAAATATATAGGACACAAATATATCTATTTTTATGTATTTTCATGGGGTTTCTGTATTTTCTACACTTAACCCTTATTTGAGCATGATGAATAAGAGGAACCAAAAAGGTCCCAGGATGGATGTGAGTTCTTTCTTTTTTTAGGTCCTTCCTAAAAGCATCTTCCTTTTAAGACTTCTTAGTTTAGAAAAAAGCAACATTAGCATGATACAGGATTTAAAATGGTACATAGTCTGCACAAAGTGAATGTTGAGACACTTTTCCGCACTTTTCATAATGTTAGAAGCTGGCAGCAGATTATAGGCAGATGTGATGCAGTACATGCTTCCTTCCTGATAAAAGTAGCAGCTCAGGGGAGGTGTATTAGGGACAACTGTTTCTGGGTTGCAAAACCACTCCTTCCTCCTTTTCTGTAAGACACTTGGTAAGCACAACAGCTCATTGCATAAAAGCTCCTAGTCCTCATGAGACCTAAACCCAAGCCATTGCAACTGACTTTGGCACTACTGTGCTGGGAATGGACTTGTGAGTGACGTACAGGTGCTTGTGTAGCTCTAGCATGGGCAGGGTTTGCTGTGGCTATTTGTAAGTAATTCTCAGGGCTCAGAGGATGTCCAGAGTCATGCATGCATGCCTCTCTGTGTCTTGGTTCAGTAAAGGGAGTAGGTTTTATGAGATTTTAATAAGAACTGATATGGAATTCTCTCTCTCTCTCTCTCTCTCTCTCTCTCTCTCTCTCTCTTTCTGCTGTCATTGTTTAGAGATTAATTCCAATCAGCTTGAGTATGAGATTTACTTACATGTTTTAGAGGTTACATATTTGGAATTTTGTAATATATTTTGGTTTGTTTGTTGGCCACTCAACATATAGAAAGATAAAAATATACAGAAAATGAAATGTTAGTTGATGATAGTTGCCTATCTAGTTGCTAATACATATTTTTCTTTTTGGCATTTTCAGATTACAGGTATTTGAGCAGCCATTTGACATATGACTAGAAATGTGTGACAGTTTGACAGGTAGGTTATCTGTTTGTTTGTTACTTTATTTATTAGAATTCTATTCCACCCATTAGCCAGAATGGTTCTCTGGGCAGCTTACAAAAATATAATAGCAACAACATACACAGTAAAACATCAATATTAAATCTAACAAACATACCTACAACAGTATAACAATAAAACACAGTAAAAACCCCACAATAAAACTCCACAGCAGCCACAGTTCAATTAAACCAAGGGCACAGTAGCACTAAAATTCAATAAATACCATATTAAAATACTCTTAAAAATTACATTTACTATTAAAATATTGGGTAAATAAAAAGGTCTTTGCCTGGCACTGAAATGAGTAGACAGAGGGCACCTCTTTGGGGAGTTGATTCCAAATCTGTTACCTTGAAGATTAGAATATTGATAAGAACTGTCATGATTTATAGTTATTTATATAGTACAAATTTAAAATAGCTTGCATACTACTCCTTTCCATTTTCAGTCAGAAGTAAGTTCCACTAAATTCAGTAGGAGTCTTCCTCCTGCAAGTGTGCATAAAATTACTGTCACATAGCCTATCTTAAGCATGTTTACTTGGCTGTAAAACTCACTTAATTCAGTGGGATTAATCCCCATTAAAAGTCGCCGTAGGGCACAATCATATACGACAAACCATTTATTTGGGAGTAAGACCTACTGAATTCAATATGATTTGCTTTTGAGTAGACACACATTATTAGTTTGAGTGACTTTTAAGGCAGTATTACTTTGCATAATTCATGCCAGATGGCCTTCTGTAATACCATCTTTTCGTGGAAAATGCAATGCCTGATTTGGTATTAAAGCAAATACACGTGTGTGTTTTAGAAAGGCAAGCTGAATGAATGACACTTGATTTCTCTACTTCGTAAGTCACATGATATCACAGTTGTGAGATTCTGTCATCCCGTTAGCTAACAGAGTCCACAGATTTAAGCTGGACCTGGAAGCCAACCGAAACTGTGGTTCCTGGACCATGTCTCTCCCGCAAGGTGTGGGTTTTGTCCTTGAAGAATGCTCCTTGTTTGAAGGCAGCATTGGGCAGGGACAATGACCTTCTTGGAAAGAGCCAAAATAACACATTGCTTGGTGAATTCTTCCTTTTGACTCTTAAGAGCTGTGGGGTGATAGCTAGGGTGGTTATGCACTCACCAGAGGCCATCATGATGGCTGCTGGAACTGGTGGATCCCTATATCTAAGTCCGTTCATCTCAAAGTCGTTTTTAGTGACTCTTCAACTCCCTTTTCCAAAGTTTTGCTACCATGCAATCAATTGGTATCCAGGTATGTGGCAAAGCATTTGGCCACTTCACATGGCCCTCCTGCAAGACTAAGACTGCAAACTCCATTTATTCAGTCACACCTTGGGTGAATTGTCTGTTGCTTAGTGGGTAGAAGAAATGGATCATGGGTATTAACTTCCTCATTTCATAATAGATACTGAGAAATGTCACTTTCCTTCCTTTGACATTCTTTATTACTGTGCACAGAGCTAACATTGTTCTTTATTACTCATTTCTCTTATTTTGGTTATTTTCTCTTCCTGAGAGCTTCTTGAATTTGAATAGATCTCTGCATCTATTCATAGCTTTCCATTGTAATCATATGAGAAACAGACCTGTTTAACTTGAAACTAATCAAAAGTTATGGGAGGCATTTTCTGTAAACGGAGCATTATATATGTACAAACTGAAAAGTATCTTTTGTAGCCACAGTTCTCCTCCCCACCATTAATTAAAGATCAATTTTAATTAATACATTAAAATGTTGATAATGTTACAGAAATGCATGCCCAGGCTTCCCTTTTTGAATACTTGCTAGTGTCTGTTTCCCACACTTTCCTATTTTTGTTAAATTTGTGTTGATAGAACTTATCAATAAAATTACATATATTTCAGATGTTTTCCGTAAATGCCACTTCAAGTGTGGTCACTGTTGTTTAAAATGGGTTAAAGCCTCTGAAGAACACAAAATGCACTTCTCAAAATGGACAACTAGCTAGTTTTCTGTTGCATTTTTTTACTTAGATTTATTTCTTGCTCATTGCTTAATGGCTGTAGATTAAAAATGTAAGAACATTTAGGGTTTTTTATACAAATCATCTCAGGCTTTCTCAACTTGCTGCCTTGCAGATGTTTTGGACTACAACTCCTACCAGCCACAGTCAACATGACAGATAGGGAATTTAGGGAAATTCTATCCTAAAACATCTGGAGGGCACATTATTCTGGAAGGCCAAGTTAAACAACTTGCAGTACATTGATTTTCATTCAGTCTGATATATTATATCCTTTGCATGTGCTTTTTAACAGACTCATGGCATATTGGAGATAAATGCCTCGCTCCCTTTCCTGAAAATGGGGGACTTTGTGATGCCACAATAACATCCTTTGAAACAGATGAGAATGGGAAGTGTTTCGCAGTTGTTTCTTTTGCGGGATCTGAAGAGAAGAAAATACGAGCAGCAAAACTCTGTAAAATGAAAACTAGGAAGGATACACAGAAGAACATAATATTTGATGATGAAGATTTGGAGAAGCCTTATTTTCCAGACAGACGGTTTCCCTCACCAGCAGTTGGCTTTGAGTTGTCCAAGGATGGAGACGAGATTCCTTATACAATTAATAGATACCTTCGTGATTATCAAAGGGAAGGGGCCCAGTTTTTACATGGACACTATATTCGTAAAAGTGGATGTATTCTTGGAGATGACATGGGCCTTGGAAAAACAGTGCAGGTATTCCCCCCCCCCCCGCCCCTTATGTTGATTTGCTAACTCTCAAGGGCCATAATGCATTGATTTCAAGGGCAAATAAAATAATAAGCTGAATCTCATTTAGAACATGTAAATCATCCAGACATTTATAGTATAGTGTTAAATGGAGTAGGAGAAGTGTGTGAAATGGCTTTCCTTTCCTTAGCTTCCCCAGCTGATTCCACTGAGGGATGGGAATTAGACTGGCCCCAATCCTGGGGCCTCTTCACTGAACAGAAGGGCATTGAATGTGACAGATTTGGGGCTCATTCCATTCCATCCTAGTTCCATTTTTGGAACACTGTGTTTGGGGTATAACACTGAAACACTGCATGTGATAGATCTTTACCGGCCAGGTAGAGTTGAGCTCTCTAGGACCCATTACTGATGGGTCTCCATTGGAGGAGGAAAATCTCCACCCCATTGGAAGCCCTTGGAGACAATGGTCTGGCCTGACTGATGCATTTTCTATTCAGGTATTTCATATTCTATATAGATATTCTGGTGGATGAATGGATAGAATCTCTTGATTTTGATGATTCGAACATGAGACAATGCATTTCATTTCAATCTGAAAAATGTAACTCAGTAACCTTAAATACAGTTACTCTTCAGTCTCACCCTAACCCTTTATTCTTTTTCCTTTATATGGAAGCAGTTGGGGTAGTTCAGATGTAATGGAAAAGCATGGTTTGAAATTATGTGGAGTAGCAGGTAAGGAGCCTAGAGCCACATGCTTGTTCCCTTATAGCAGACAATTCCCAACCTCCTGTTCTACCTTGAGGCAGGCTGTCGATTTCCATTTACTTCAAATTAGTCCACATAGTTTGTGTTTGTTCTGCAAACCAGAATTCAAAATCAGGATATGGTCAAATAGAACAGGAGCATCAAGCTTTCTTTCTTTCCAATTCCTATCCATGTGACAGGTCTTTTACTTTGGTTTGAGGCAAACTATTTCAGCAAAAGGTTCAAACTGTGGCTTGCCTCAAAGCAGGAAAGGAAAGAATTTCTTTCATATTACAGCATGAGATGCTGTAAGACTTTTCATCTATACTGAGTAATTGAGTTTTTGTGGAAAATATTTCATCAATAGTTTGTGGAAAATATTTTGCTAACTCTTTGCTAACTCACTGGATTGTACTGAAATATTTCTTTGAAACAGCAAGTCTGAGAAATGGAAAAGAAACTCATTAAGAACAATCAGTCTTTAATATGGGGGAAAGCCTTCGGAAAGGCCATACAGTTTTGTTTTGAAATGGGAACTTTAATCAGAACATTTAATAGAAAGTAGTTTTTGTTTTGCATCTTGTTTTTGAGTTTCTAAGCACCTACTTTTGTTATTATTTTAGAAGAATAGCAGGGTATAAATAATAACCAAACTATGTTTTCCAGTTTTCTTTTCCTCCTTGTTAAGTTCTGGAAATGGAATTTTAAATTGAGAAAGTTGGTATCCCTCTTCAGTCTTTCATGAAGACTGGCCTTTCCACCCTGTCCATGATACTTGGTAAGCTTATAAGGTTTAAGTTTAAGTTTACTGAATATCATGGAGTGAGACTGGATTGAGGATCTTTTATTTTTCAGAGTTACTACAAACTGGGAAATAACTCAAGAAGACAATGGCGAGCAAGCAGTTTATGTGTCTTCTTTTTTAGAAATAAGACTGATTTTCACTTGCCTTTTTATACTGCCTATTGGGGAATTTTATTTCCCCCAGACAATATTATATAGTACACATTGCAGAATTATAGTATGTGATGAAAAGATAGCCTATAAAAATGCTTTCTTGTCAGAATGGAGAAGGAGACGTATAACATTATTTTCTCAGATTGGCAATTAATTCCATCATTCCAAGGGAGAAATAGTGTTCTGTTTTATGAGAAATCTAGAGATTAAATTAAAGATTTCTTCAGATTGATGTTCATGTATTCTATAGCTGTATTCCATAATTTATCACCCTATCTCTTTCTTAAGTTACCATGTGTGGTTTGGTACCTACTTTATGTGGCAATATGCTTGATAATATGACTCCTATTACAGACATCTTTTTCAGAACAGTTTGTGTTTCTTTGTAAGCTGGAAGAGTGTGCATGAATATTTACTATGACAATTTATTTTTAAACATCTGCATTTTAAACCAGGATGTTGAACATTAAACATCTGGCTTAAGTCAGGACTATTTTATGGATGTGATTAAAGAAATACTGACTTTTAATGCTATACCAAACTGAGGGCATCAGTGCATGTAGTTAAATTAGCACAATAAAAAACATTCGTGCAAACTTTATGCTGTGGATGGACTTCTGAATCTACATGGATCTCCTATGTTGACAGACTAATATATAGCAAAATGCACTCTGTTCCCAAAGTGTGGTCAGTACAACTGGTTGAAGGAGAAGCATGAAAATGGTTGAGAGTCTTAGATCATTTAGCTCTTTGCTGGATTACAGAGATAAAAATTTTCCTCAATTCAGCTTTAAAAAATCAAAATATGGATAGAAACTGGTGGGCTTCAGGCCTTTGCTCCCATGGGAAGTGGTGATGGTCATTCATTTGGATGGCTTTAAAAGGAGATTGGACACTTTCAAGGAAGAGGTGGCAGTCAGGGGCTATTAGCCTTGCTGGCTACATGCTACTTCCTTTATCAGAGATGGTATGTATGCATATACCAGTTGCTGAGGAACTTGGGCATCGGAGACCTTGGTCCATCCTTGAGGGATGCTGTGGAGAGTGGGTTTGCTAGCATGTATCTGGAGTGCTAGACTAGATGGGCCTTTGGTCTTACCCAGCATGACTTTTCTTATGCTCTTTCCCCCCGGCCCCAGGATGAGCCCACAGTTTTCTACTAATCCTATTCTTCCTGAAATTAGGCTTTTAAAATGGTCCTTTTGTACCAATGGGGGTACAGAAGCCTAAATGTAGTGGGAGTGGGTTTTTTTAAGGGAGGGTAACAGTGCCCTGTGAGGGGAATGATTACCCTTCACAGTAGTGACTCCTCTCTGAAAAGCCCCCCCCCCCAAGAATGGGCATATCTATCCATTGACCTATGGAAAGCCTCTGGGTTCCACTTTGTCCTTCATGCTGTTCAGTATCGCCATAAAAATACTAGGCAAAGTCACCTAGAATAGGGCTCCCCTCTCTGCAGTCTACATACTTAAAGATTTATTTCATCAGTACATGTTTCTTTATATTGAAGAGGTAGAACAGAGAGTATGACTGGGTTTGTATTACATGTTGTTCCATTATGGGTAACCAACAAAAATGGGTTGCTGTGTCATACGAACCTGGAATGCTTCTCTGAGGGTGGCTTATTTTTAGGGAAGAAGCCACCCAGACATTTCTAGTGGTTGTCTGTACCCCAATAGGTTGTCATTGCTGCTTGCCAAGAGCAGCAAAGCCCCCACTATTCTTTATAAACTCAGCTGCATGCTGCTGCCAGTGACTGTCCCAGCTTGGATGCCTGACAATTGGTGCCTGGCAATTCTACAAAAATTAGGCAATATACAGTCTTTACTTGTTGATTCCCATCTATGTTAGGTACATTACTATGCTGTACCCTTGGCAACTGAAACATACATTGACCAGTACTGCAGTAAGATTGCAGTTGCAAAATACTGAAAAATGTTATTAGTAATTTAGTTATAATTACTAAATTAGTAGTTTAATAATGATAGAAATTAACTTGACAGGTTCTGGGCTCTCTCATACTGGATGCATTCAAGATGCAGCTCTCAAAGATGTTTTAATTTGGAATCCTGCATTGAACTGAGGCTTTGATCCAAGGGCCTTATTGTCCACTTTCTACTCTAGTGTTCTATGATACTATGAATTTTAAAATAATTATGAACAAAGTTGTACAATTTTCAAGAAACGTTAAACCTCCCATGCAATTGCACATTTTTGAGGTTCATTGGGATATGTGTTGGAGCCAACCTGTGGACTGAGGAGGAGAACAAGCCACAATAAGACAGATTTTCTGACAGATATGTCATGGGTGGGAAATGCACAATGTGTAGTTTACTTGCAGGGTAGGCTGGTGTGACATGCAAATAGTGTCAGTGATTTGGTTCACATGATTGCATGGTGGTTAGTAAGCCATGGTGGCTTATTTCCTGTGCAGCTTGTCATGCCATACAAATCTGGTCAGCTCAGCATGACACGGCTAACAAACTGCCCAGACCAAACAGCCCAGGGTTTGGTTTGTGCATGAGGGTGGTAAGAAAGACATACTGGCCTACTGACTCCCTTACCCCCAGTCACATGCCTGATGTATGCTGCCCGGTTTCTCTTAATTACCCTTACTGGGTGAGACATGTCATTGCATGGTAAATCTGGCAAAGGTGGGTAGGTGGGTTGGCAAGAGAATATACAGAATCTAACAACAGACTTTTGTAGAATTCTGACTTGGCTAATTGTAGGGTTCTGGAGTAGCTGGGTTTGCATGTCACAAGAAGTGCTGCTGAAAGTTTAAATTGACTGGTGTGCATGAGGGGGAAATAAGCTACTATCTATTTCCCAAGCTATGACCATGAGAACCAGGCCAATTTGTGGACACAGGTGTTTGAGTATTCTGTACACCTTGGATGCTTGGAGGGTTTGGGGGTCCATGATTGCCCCTCAGTCCTTACTGAGCTTTGTAGAATGCACGTCCTTATGTCCCTAGTTGCTCTTTAGAGTTGAGCTTCCTGGTGCATGTTTGCCTCTGGAGTCCTGAAAGGCAGGGGTGGAAAACCTCAGCTGAGGCACCAGATCAGGCCTCTGTTTTCCCCAGATGAGCACACACACTATCTTTCCTGCAACCTTCTGTTTAGTAGTTTCCTTGCTTTTGTGAAGTTTTTCCTATTTCTAAAATGTTGAATGGTTCTCTTAAGTCTTGGTTACTGGCAGTATGAGTTTAAGCTTCAATGTGCAGGTATGTTTTTATATTCTTGGCCTCACCAATTTTGTCATTGCCCCATCTACCATTTAAATGTGGCCCCTAAAAATTGAATTCAGTCCTCTGTCTGAAAGAGATTCCCATCCCAGGCAGTAAGGGTTCTGAGAAGGTGACCCTTCGGAATAGGCCCTTGCTAGCTCTTGGGAAGTTAGGCTATTTGACTTATTCTGAATGCTGTCTCACTTTCACCTTCTTCTTGATGACTTCTAACTGTGTTTATCCCTAGGTTATTTCATTTTTGGCTGGAGTACTTCATAAAAAAGGGACACGGGAGGATATTGAAAATAATATGCCTGAATTTTTACGAAGAACAATGAAAAAAGAGATGCCATCTGTCCAGAAGAAGGTATGTTTTTAATGGAGACTTAAATCTCTCAGAGCACCTTGAAGATATTGTAAAGTTCATTTGTAAATGGAGATTATGCTTATGGACAAGAATGCTTATAGACTGCACAGTGTGCAGAACAAAATAGATTACAGATGATTTAGGAGACATATCATTAGGTTTCTGCAGGCCCTCTTATATCTGCTGGAACTCTGTTGGCCCTTCCAGTAGCTTTCGGGAAGCGATCACACAGGGGACATAAAATTTGCCTAGAAAACATTTTGCTTGGTAACCCTAAGTGGCTTCAGATTCTTTAAGGGGACTGAGGGTACTTACCAGAAAGTGCTTCACTTTCATTTCAATGTTAATTTTCTTGCCTCTGTGATTTCACCCCCAGCTGCACTGGGCAATTGATAGCTGTGTCAGTTCCAGGTTCCTTTTTCTGGTATTCCTTTGTCAGCACTTCTTTCCTAGCCAACTGTACTAAATTGCAAGGTATTTAGTAATGGAAGTCAGTGGGGCAGTTGGCATAACATGACAGGCTACTATGGATTAATTAACCATAGTGAGACTGTGGTGTGGGGAGGCATGTGCAGCCACCATTTTGAAAATGCACACTCCCCTTGTGGTTGTTGTGTCATGTGAAATGAGCAGGTATGCATTATGTGAGGCATAAACAGCTCACATCCTGAAGAGTCTGTTTTAGGGTTGTTTAACACATGCTAAACCCTTGCTTGTTGTAGTCAAATAACATAATAGCCCCTGAGAAAGGTCTGAAGGTACAATTTAGCATTTGTGGGCAGTGCAGCTTCTTGTGGGATAAATGACCCATGAGAAGCTATAAACAGCTTCATTTGAAAGTTTTGTCTCCATCATCACAAAGAACCTTCCTCAGGCTTTTTTTGGTATCAGATTTTCCCTCTACTGAGAGTCAATAAGGGGCCAATATTTTCTTACTTTCTTCTCTTCCTTCATCTTGGGAATTTTCTAGGTTTGCTTCAAGTGAGAATGTGAGATGTGTTCACTTTAGTTAGTTGAAACAGCTGGGGGAATACTGGTGCCCGGGATCCTACCTGCCCTCCCCTTCCTACTTTAGCGCACCGTTAGTTGCAGACTAATAACTGCACAGGGCTTTATTTTTCTTGATATCTAGAAGCTCTGCAGGTTCATTTAAGCCCCGAAGTAGCATATAAAATGTATTCTTTTTATTGCTTCTGTTTTAAATTGCAGTGTTGCAAATGTGGGCAGCACTTGGCGGGTGATATTTAGTATTACATTATAAACTCATTATTTATTTCTGTTTCTGTTGCTCTTAACTACATGGTAGAAAATGTTGTGGACCTAATCATGCTGGGATTGCGGAAATTGTTTGACACTGGTAGAAAGTTATCAGTGAGAGGTGACCTGTGCCAAAGACTCTAAAGAAAAGCTGAAGAGCCAGTGGGGATGGGTCAGTACTGTGTGCTACTGCCACAAATCCCCGTGGGGCTTGTGATCACAGTTTGCAGTTGTATTCAGTGGTGTGCTGCACATTGCCATTCTGAATCTTCTGGGGATCAGATTGGTGGCATACTTGGGCCCTTTATGGGTGGGTGGCAGTGGCACTCACTGCCTAGCTGCTTGCCAAAAGGAAATTTTGGTCATGTCATTTGGATTGCGATGGCATGACAACCCATCATGAGACAACAAACTACTGGTTCTTATCATACTTGCCAACTATTACCAGAAGTGGTCATTGCAACCATGAGTGGGTTCACATTACATGAAAAGCAGCCAATTACAATAGTCAACAGTTGGTTGCCATGACATACTGACCCAGTAGTTGATCTTTCTTTCTCTTTAGTGAAATTGGGTAAGGGAGGCCCAATTGATCCTTGTTTCTGACTTTATATCCTCAAAGTTCTCCTTAGCCTTACAGAAATTTCATTTGGCAGTTCCTCTGTCTTCTCTGTGAAAGGTTCTACAGAGAATCTTCCTCAATATAGCTTTCCTAAGCCTTCCTAAGCCAAGATAAGAGGGTACATTAGCAGTGATTGAGAAGGGACATGTTTGGACATATATTTAATGTATTGTGAGTACTGATTCCAAAAACAAATTGTCTGGGTCATTTAGGTCTGGGGTGGCCAAAAAGGGTGGTAGGGGCTTCTGGGAGCTGAAGTTCAAAACTTACACAGGACTTCCAGGTATATCTGTCCAGGTATAGATGACACTTCTGGCTCTATGGTCAGAATATTTCCATCTGCGTTTATTATGCAATTTGTTTAAATTGCGTCATTATCAATTATGTAATGTTATCTTACCAGTGGTTCAATTAACATTCTGCTTTTTCTTGTTTGCTTGACTCTGCAAAAACTGGGAGAAGGGAATTCTGTCAACTGGCAGACTCCAGTACATGACTGCTGTATTACGCTTGCTTAGATAAGGTCTCAAGTTGTATCAACCAAGCATAAACACACTCTGGTGCCTACTTTAAAAGGACATAACACTCTCATTGCTAGGGGTTCTATCTCACTTTGCTGTGCTCAGAAAATTGGAAAGTTTAGGATACCACGTCCATGCAGAATAGAATGCAACTGTGTGGGGAATTTTGTATTTAGATGCATTTTATATTTATTCAACATCAATATCATGTTTGCTTTTTTAGATTTTCCTGATTGTGGCACCCCTTTCTGTGCTATATAATTGGAAAGATGAATTGGATACCTGGGGTTATTTCAAGGTTATAGTTTTACATGGCAATCGAAAAGACTATGAATTGAATCGAATCAAACAGGGAAAATGTGAGATTGTATTAACAACATATGAAACACTCCGCCTTTGTTTGGATGAGCTTAATGGGTAACTGAAATCTCTGTTTACTGCCAGTTCTTTTAACATCCTAAAATATTTTTCAAACTGGGACAGTGAATTCTTAGGATGATTGTCATTATTTCCTATTGCTTCATAGTGTAGAGTGGTCAGCTGTCATTGTAGATGAAGTGCACAGAATCAAAAATCCAAAATCTCAAATAACTCAGACAATGAAGGCTCTAACATGTAAAGTTCGACTGGGACTTACTGGGACAATTCTGCAGAACAATATGAAGGAACTTTGGTGTGTCATGGACTGGTAAGCAAAATGAAAGCTAATATTATAAATTCATGTGGAAAGGTCGTAACTGTTATCAGTTTATTATTTATCTGCATATACACAGAATGATTTTTGAATATGCACAGACCAGTCATGTGCTTGCAAATGTGTATTCTTCAGGTCTCTGATGCTGGGAGCTGTGACACTCTAGTCGTAGCTTTCTGATGCATAGATCTGTAATTACTCTGAGATGTGAATGCACATTATGAATCAGTAGATTACACTGAACTACAGCTGTTACCATCACACATAAATGCAATGGCATTTGTCACTATGTAATGTTTGAAATGATGCTATGAATGTCTGATGCCTTAGTTTTGGATTGTTATGTTGGGCTACTTAAGGAAACAAACAAAACCTTGTTGGAAACCCAAATATGTGCTTGTTGTTGTTGTGAGACTGGTGCTTCCTTTGTCCTGATTTTATTGGAATGTCCCTTTTATAGGCTTCACTAGAAGACAAATGGCATAACTGTAGTTTTCCTAATAGCAATAGGAGTTATACCATCTGGACAGTAGATAGATCTCTGGAAATTTTGTACTTCAATTTCCAGAAGCACCTGGGCCCTTTCTCTCCCATTCCAAGGGAAACCTGAAAGAAACAATAAGAAGGAAGATGTTCTCAGTGGTGACCCTGCAATTATGGAATAATTTCTCTATTAAGGCCAGCCTGTTGCAAACATTATGATCTTTCCAGCATTAGGTTAAAAGTGCCCTTTAATCTAAGGCATTTCATGACATGGAATATACCAGCTGTAGTAATCAGGTCTAGTTTTATTGAAATAGTTTTAAATTTGGCATGTTGTAATTTCCTGCTGTATTTTATTGTATCTAGTGTGCTTTTCCCTCTTTCGGTATCTTTTTATTGTGCTTCAAAAAAATTTTGTGAACCACCCCGAGAGCTTTGGGAATAAATATTCTAATAGCAGTTGCCCAGGTAGTGCACATTACAGTGGTACCTTGGCTCACAAACTTAATCTGTTCCATGGCTCTGGTCATGACCCAAATTGGTTGTGATCCAAGTCAAATTTCCCCATAAGGTTCAATGTAAATAAGGTTAATCTGTTCTGTAACCATTTTTTTATCACGAATTTGAAGCAGAGTGACAAAGAACAACAAAGATCACAGCCATCTCTCCCCCCCATCGTCCCAAGCATGACTGCAATTGCACCCGTCTTCCCTGTGCAACCGCACTCGCGGGGTGGGGAGATGGCCGCGAACGCAGTTGTGCTCGTGCAGAGAAGATGGGCACGATCGCGATCGTCACCCGATGCGGAGTTTGCAACCTGAGGCAAATTTTTTCTGAAATTTCTGTTTGTGACCAGATTTGGTCGTGAACTGAGGCGTTTGTGAGCTAAGGTGCCACTGTATAATGGGTTAATCCATCCAACTAATGTTTTAACCTTGTGGTTGCATAGCGATAGAGTGATCAGTTTTATGAATGTTTCAGTGATAAATTTCCATAAATGTGGAAACATGGCCATGGCCTTTAATAAAGTTATATAGGAAAAGCCCTGAATTGAACCTATTTGAGAGTGTGCATGGAGATCCCCAGTGAGTACTCAGAAGTAAATGGTGTGGTCCCTGAGTTCGGTAGACTATAACTCTCTGGTAATTGGTGTAGAATTTCAAATATGGAATGCTACAGCTGGCAGATCAACTGGATCTTTGGTTGCAGAATTCTGCAGAATATGTGAATTCAGTTGATATATCACTATATAAGAAATCTTATTAGACTGAAGAATGATACTTCATCTGCTACTTCTTTTGTCTCTCCTAGGGCTGTTCCAGGACTTCTGGGTAGTGAAACACGCTTCAAGAGGAAATTTTCTGATCCAGTAGAGCATGGCCAAAGGCACACCGCAACTAAGAGAGAGCTAGCTACAGGTCGAAAGGCAATGCAGAGGCTAGCTAAAAACATGTCCGACTACTTCTTAAGGCGTGCGAAGGCACTTATTAGTGATCAGTTGCCCAAAAAGGAAGACAGAGTGAGAAAAATCAGTTACAATATTTTTTAAAAAAATTGTTCATAACTTTAATGCGTATTTTGTGTAGCTTGAGAGGCAGATCACTTTATTCCTTACATGTTAGAATGCAGATGTGCTGTGGGGAATTCACAAAGCTCTGAAAGTATATAAGAATGAATCTAGAGAAGGATTTGAGTGTCTGTCTCCTTGCTTGATTACTTTTTCAGAATAGTAAGTTTAGAAGCGGTGTGAAGAAAAATCTGTTTAACAGTATTAACCTGGGTGCTGTTAACCTGAATTCCTGTGCTGTTAACCTGAATTCTTTAAGAGCTGGGTGTGGTCCCTGAAAAAGAAATGCATAGACTGCTGGCAGGACTTTCTAGAAGGCTTTGGCAGGTTAGGTGCACCGTTTTTCTTGCATCCTGCCCTATACAGCAACATGGCCTTGCATAGACTGAGCATGCCGAGTCAGACTCTTCTGCCCATTTTTTTCCTGGTCTATGTTTGAGCCTAGCCACAAAGCCCAAGAAGCTATTAATTTCTTTCTGAATGCAAGAGGACAAGACATAGCCTCTTCAGATAATTTAAAAATTGTTTTCTGGTACTTCACTCCTTTGCTTAAGTTCTCTTGTCCACATGGTACATGGAAGGGTGTTCAAAAACTGCTTTGGTGATACCAGTAAAGTTCTTGACTCAGATATTGGAATATCTTGGAAGCCAGATATATTAGATGTCTCAATCACAGATATTGCTAGTGTATATAGCTTTAGCGGTTGTGCTCCATTGGATACTACCCATTGTTTTACACACAGATCTATTTTATTTGCAATTTTTCAAAGACAAGGTAACCCTTCTGTCAGATTCTCAATTTAAACATTGTCTCTCAGTTCCATCTGTCAATATTTTTGCCAGTCCTCCTCATCTACACCCAGTCTTCCAGCTCTGAAGGCAAACAGTGTCTGCATTACTTGAATGTTAGGTATGCACTATCCTTTTTACATAGTTGCAAGACCATATCTAGTAAGATTTTCATTACTTATTGGGAATCAACAAATGGCACTGCTATTTTCATACAATACTATGTTGCTGTTGCTGAAAGTATTCTCACAGTGCTGCAGTATGCAAAAAGTCCCCTGACTGGGTCCAATCTTTCCACATTCTGCCATCTCCACGGTCATCTTAGTGGCCTTCACAGAGGAGTTCATCTTGCTGTTGTATGTTTAGCTTCTACTGTATTGCAACAGTGGAAGACCATCCAGAGAGTAATGGCTATGTTGTAAGAATGTTTTTTTTAGTCATGTTCTTTGTGACAGCCTTCGGACCCACGTAAGGCGTGTGTGGTAGGGAGCAAATCTGTGCTTCCAATCTTAAAGAGTTTTCTAGAAAGCCTTCCCAAGGTCTTTGCAAACACATTCCTTTAAGTGTTACTGTACTGTAAGCATAGTCAGAGAACAACAAATAAGCATATGTTTTTGACATTTGTCTACAGTTACAGTCACTACAGAAGTATCCTACAGACAAATGACACGCCTCATGCACGCATTCATTTTTCTGTCCAGAATTTGTAATGACATTCTTAAGTAAGGTTCATGACTCAATTTGTATGCTTTTCTTCAGGACAGTTGCAAATTTCTGAATGGGCTGGAATTGTGTAGATGCACTTAAAGACTGGCCAAAAGCCTTTTGGTCTTATATCTCCATTTCTTTGGTAGACTTCTTGTAAAAAGCGAACTATTTGGTAAATGGAAAGCTCTGTCTAGGCTTGGCATCACCATCATGAAAGAATGTTTTGATGAGCTCAAGAGTGCATTTTAGATAACGTACAGTTGCAGAAACTTTTAATAAAGATACACATTAGTCTGCCGCTCTTCCTTCTTTGTTTATACCTGCCTTTCAGCCAGACCTTGTAATAATGCAGGCTGAATTGTGCTTTCTAAGGAGAAGATTAACAGCAATGTCACTTGGTTGCCTTTAATCTAGCAGCTTTTATTTTATCCCATTCTTTTGATAATGTGACTATATGTTCAAGATACCATTGGATTATTATAGCACAGCATGGTGCTGTTGCTTTGTGGGTGGTCTAAATTCAGAAGTGATCTTGGGATTTCTGTATCCTGCTGGTTGAGACCAAAAGATGTCATGGAGATGCCACCCATGGTCTTTGAGAAGGATAAGGTTTGTCATACCACTGTACAAAACCCCTCCTCCTACATCAGTAATTCAGAATGTCAATCTTAAGAACTGGCTGTTTCCTTTTATTCCTTCAGCCTGCTTTAGTGTTTTACAATAGTGCCAGGAAACGGCAACTAGATCTTTTAAGTGACTCAGAAACTTTAGTCTTACATTCAGCATTTGAATCCTTTTCTCTCACATTCCTGCTCATACTGGCCACAAATTGAAACTGATTGTCACAATTTATCTTTCATATTCTTAACAGATTTTAACATTTAAATAAGATACCAACTGATCACAATCTGTTTATAGTCCTAAGGACTCTTTGTTTTGCAATAGCAACAAAATGGCACACTGAGGTATAAGAGTTGACCGATATTAGTTGACCATCTTCTTTTCTTTTCAAAATATTTTAATATTTTTATTTGTGTTATTTTCTTCCCCCTTTTTGCATTTTATCCTTCCAGATAGTATATTGTTCCCTGACAGAGTTCCAGAGAGCAGTTTATAAGGCTGTACTGGAGACAGAGGATGTACACTTAGTGCTACGAGCACGTGAGCCCTGTAACTGCAATAGCGGCAGCAAAAGGAAGAATTGTTGCTACAAAGTAAGGTTTTTTTTAAACTTGTTTGCCATGGAAGTTCCATTTTTCAGTGTGCATTTGTCTTACACTATAGCCACACCAGCTTTTTATGCATGGATGTAGAAAGGGCCGTACACTTTAGATTGATTATAGCAACCTGCCAGTATTCTCCACAGTTTGTAGCAGTTCTCGGTACTCACTTTCCTTCTTTTCATTTGAATGAAATAAGAACTGAAGCTGACCAACTTCAAAATGTAGTTGAGGTTATGTAACCAAAATTTTCCAATTAATTGTGGGATTATTGTTACGATTGGGTAATGTTCATCTGAGGTTATTTGATTTAAAGTATTCAGTAGCACATTTTTTGATGTACAAATTGATGATACAGTGTTAATACAATGTTAACATAGGTTAACAATCTGCTTTTTCCTTGGCAAATGTGCAATAGCTGGTGGAAACAGAAGTATATTTATGTAAATGTGCATAGGACGAGAGAAACAAGAGGATAAGAGAACTGGGGATCAGTATGTTCAAATACAGTTGTTTCGTACATGTCTGTGGACACAACATGGACATAGTGCCAAACCACAGTTTACTAGTTCATCTTTATGTGCTGCTTACTCCTCCAAATCATCTCTTGTTGGTTGTCTTCTCTATAATACAGTTTTCACTAACTAGGTTAGTGATTGCAGATTGCAGCGCTATCCAAATTGACAGACCGTGGTCAGTGCCTTACCTTCAAACAATGATTAGAAAACTCAGATTGAAGTGGTCTGCAAACTCTGGCTCCAGATTCTATTTTAGAAGCAAGGTGAAGCTCATAGTTTGCCAGTGTGGATGTCACAGCAAATAATTTTTAGTGCAGGAGAGAAGTGTGGTGTGCTTCCAATCACTAAGTCTTGATTGAAAGTTACATCTGCACTGAGCCTTTGTTTCAGGTGGGGATACGGATTAAAGGGCTGTGCTGTGTGTTTTGAAGATTATTTTCAGTTCTTGTAATCTTTCTCACTCTTAGACAGTGTTTTCCTCTGTTCTCCTCTTGCTAATATAAAGCTGGGGCATAGGGGGGTGTATTCACATTTATGCCATCACGAGTGGCTTGTTCAATCACAGGGTTTTTGTTTAATCTCCACTAGATGATAAGCAACAGCCTCACACACTGTAGGACATCATTTATGATATCATTTTTCCAAAAGCATTGGCAAAACAGTACAGCCTGTAGTGAATGGATAATATGGAGAAATGAATAGCTAGTCAAATCTTTTTTAATTTAAATTGCAAAGTAAAAGAGTTATTTACTTAGGCTTAAATCTCAAGTAGTGCAAACAGGGTTCCCCTTACTCTCTTTCACCTTGTAATTCCCTGTGTACCTTCCAAATCTGCAGCTGAGGGTCCCCCAATTTTTTGGAGCAGATCTGGAGGATGTGAGTGTTGGGTTTGCTAGGGAAGGGGAAAACTATTCTGCCAACAGTTTACATTCTTCTAGAAATGACAAGGGTTGGATACACATGGAATTCTCTAAGAGAGAAAGTTGTTTTGCAGATGAGAAGGTTTATAGATAATGGCAGTTTAATGAAAGGGGACTGCAGTTGGCTCACAGGAGTGGGAGAGAGAGGCTGATTTTGCTCCCAGCAGTGTTTAGCACTCTCACCAATGTTTATAAATTCATTTCTGCTCATACTAAATAGCTGCTTAATGCTTACATTCTGGTATGCTTTTTATCTAACCCAAATTGATTCTGGCTTTTATGAACATGATCAGAAATTGGGGTTAATATTTTCAACTGTCCACCTCCTGATCATCATCTTAAAAATGGTTTCCTTACTGTTGATAAATATTTGTGGTACAACTTTACATTGAACTGGCTGGTTTTGCTTATATAATACTATTCTTAAAATAATGCAATTGATTACTGTTCTTGTATACGTACTTGAACTTAAAACAGACTATTTGGTCATTTTGGAATATGACTTCCACATCAAATGAAAAATGAATAGTGAATGTTTTCTGGTATGCTCTTAGTACTTGCATTACCAAATCCTAATGAATGCTATTTTGCTATCACTGCTCTAATGAGAGCCATAAAATGCACCAGTTTTTTCATCTTTATATAAATGGGCAGTGTGAATCATCACCTGGAAATCAGATATGGTTAGAACAATAATTATTTGATAGAGATGTTGATATCATACTGATGTACCAGAAAGATACTGCATGAGACTTTGGGTTGTTTCAGGTTAACTGTGCTTTCAGTATGTGAAAAAATGGGTCCAACCTGAATCCTAAGCATATGTATTTGGCATGAATTTCCTTGGAAGCAAGTCCCACTGTTTTTTAAGATCATAGCTAACCTGCTTTACAGAAAACAAGCAATGCTAACAGCTGTGATAGATGGGGTTCAGTCCAGAGACAGCTTCTGCACAGGTGAGTGCCACTTGGTTTAGCACCCTCTCTGGAGCACTGATAGAGTTGCATAGTTCCTGCTGACATTCGTTCTGCAAATGCAGGAGGAAGCAACAGAGCAGTGGCCACAGGAGGAAAGGATAAAGCATCATAACAAACAGAGACATTACAGTCCCAAGGATCTGTGGATTGAACTGCTGCCAATAGGATCTACAAGCCTCAGAAAATATAGGAGGCCTCTAATTTACAGAGTGCAATGGAAATGGCATTAGTTCCCAGAGACAAGAAGCAGTATCTATAGGGCATTTGTCTGTGCAAATATTCATAATTGATACGGGTACATTTAAACTGGTGTGGGCAAACTTTCAGCCTTGATGCTGAATTGGCTCTGGGCAGGCAGAGGAAGTGGGGCTACCTTATTGTTGACATGTGAATCAAATGTGATTGCCAGGAACCCATTTATTCTCATTCTCTCTCTTGCTCTTGTGCACGCACACATAACTGTGCCCCACTGCAATCAGGCATTTTAAAACTGCACTGTCAGTGGAAGCTTTTAAAGAACCTGATAGCATCAGGGGAGGGGAAATTTCTCATGGTGGAAGGATCACAAGATTGGATGCAGTGCTCCCAGAGTGTAATTAAGCTTGTTAAAAGCCTCCATAGATGGAGATTTGAGTAAAGCCTCATTTGCCACATGAGAAGGGGCAATCTGATTGGATCAGAGGTAAGGGCAGAGGCTGAATGGGGACCCACAGGCCAGAGTTTCCTCATCCCTGATAGAAACTGTATGGTTCCATCTTGCTATAAATATAAATTAAGTAGCCAGAAACATAAGATGTTTAAACATTTTTTTAAGTCAAAGGACACCAGTTAATCCTCCATTTTATTCAACAGAGACTGGTTAATTTTGTGGGCAGGGATCAGAATGAGAAAGAAAGGGATTTGTCTTTCTGGTTTGTACTGGCACAGAGAAATTATGCTTGGGCACTGCTCCTGCACAAATAATGGAAGACTTTTTAATTCCCATTTGTTTAAGAGGTCTAGAGTTCATATGGAAAATGTTCCCAGTCAATTTCATCCAAGGTGTATTTACAGGAAGAGTTGCTGATTTATTAGAACATTCCTAGTACCGTATTACGTTGTGTGGCTTTTATTGTGTGCCTTAATCTGAGGTCTGGCCTGTCCATACATAGAATAAGGTGGTAGAATGGACTGTATCACTTTTCTTGTTGCAAGCAAAAACAGGAAAAAAAAACCCTAGCACAATGGCAATAAAGAGTATAGAGTTACCCACTTCCTGGAAAAAGGAATCAGATCTGTGTATTCTGTTGCATGTATTTTGCCCATTTCAGGTCACAATGCTCTGAGTTGGCTTAAATCTATGATCTTTCAAATACTATTTATTTATATCTCTACAGACAAATGCTTATGGTGAAACAATAAAGGCCCTGTACTTCAGTTATTTGGCAGTCCTTCGAAAGATTGCTAATCACGCAGCACTGTTACAAACTGACAACACTAGCAGACAGCAGGTTAGTTTCCTTGAGTCTTCATGGCCAGCAGTGTTTTGAAGAAACATACAGAACATAGAAACATAGAAAAAAAGCAAGTCAGAAGGGGTATCCCAGGCCATCTAGTCTGGTCCCTGGCTCCAGTTGGTTCCGCTTATGTAATCCTCAACATGTGGTTGTCCAGTCTTTCCTTGAACACCTTCAGTGATGGGGTGTCACCTGCCTCCTTTGGAAGCCCATTCCATATCCTAGGAGTCCTACACATCAGGAAATACTTCCTGACATCCAGCCTGAAGTCTGATTCCTTCAGCTTTGCCCCATTGGAACGTGTCCTGCCCTCCATTGCAGGGAAGAACATGTCATGGCCCTCCTCCACATGACATCCCCTCACATACCTAAAAGTCGCTAAGAGATTCCCTCAGAGTCTCCTCTTCTCCAGGCTAAAACCCAGTTCCACTCTCTCCTCATATGTCATCCCTTCCAACCCAGCTACCATTCTTATGACCCTGCGCTGGACCAAATCTAACCTAGCTATGTCTCTCCTATAATGTGGAGCCCAGAACTAGATGCAGTACTTCAGTTATGGGCACACCAGAGTCATGTAGAGTGGTATCAACCCCTCCCTAGATCTGGAAACCATGCTTCTGGCTATACATCCAAGGCATTTGCCTTCTTAATGCTGCGTCACACTGCCAGCTCATTTTCAGCCTACTCTTGACAAACACCCCAAGATCCCTTTTGCAAGTGCTGCTTTCCAGCCACTTGTCACCCATCCTGTATGTGTGTCACCTATTCCTATGTCCCAAGTGCAAGACCTTGCATTTATCCACATTTTATGCCATCCTGTTGTTCCCCACCCATTTCCTTCTGGATCTGGATCACCTCCTCAGTTGTGGCCAGTGCCCCCACTTTGTTATCATCCATGAATATAGTCAGCAGACTGGTTATTCCCTCCCCCATGTCATTGATAAAAAGGTTGAACAGAATTGGTCCCAGAACTGAACTCTGAGAAACTCTGCTTGTCAGCAGCAGCCATCCTGAGGATTCCCCACTGATAGTCACCCTCTGCCTGTTGTCTGTCGACCATGCCCTAATCTATTGGACAGGGCATCAATCTATCCCAAAGCTCAACAATTTCTTGACTAGAATATAATGCGGTACTTTGTCAAAGGCCTTCCTGAAATCCAGGTAAACCACATCTACTGCGTCCCCTCCATCAAGCCACCTCGAGACCTTATCATAGAATTCCACAAGGTTCATCTGGCAGGGTATGTTTTTATGGAATCTGTGCTGTGTGGCTGCCAACCTCCCATCCCTATCTAGGGTTTCTAGAGCTTTCCCTATTATGAGCCTTTCCATCTTTTTCCCAGAATGGACGTAAGGCTAACTGGCCTGTAATTCCCTATATCCCCTCTGCTACCTTTTTTGAAGATTGGAGCCACTGATACCACCCTCCAAACCTCCAGGACTTTTCCCATTTTCCACGAGGCCTCAAAAATGTAGGCCAAAGAATGCAATAATGCCGCTGCCAATTCCCAAAGTACTTTTGGGTGTAACCCATCTGGGCCTGGTGCCTTCGTAACATCCAGGGCCCTTTTCGACTTCTAGTGAGGTGACTCCAATCTGCCCCCATAACCCCAGCCTAGCCCTCCAGGTAGAATTTCCCTAACCCTCTTTGGGGAAAACACAGAAGTAAAATAATCATTTAACATCTGTCCCTGTTACCAGATCCCCTCCCTCCCTTTTAATTGGTCCCACCACCTGTCTCCCCTTTCTCTTCCTAAATACAGGAAGGTAGAAACACTTTATGTTGCTCTTGACATTCAAGTCTCAGCTCATAATCAGTCTTAGCCTTGTGAAGAACCATTTGGCAACATGCTGCCTCTTCCTGGTAAACCCTTTTGTCCACTTGCCCCAGTGTCTATTTCTTGTGAGGGTCTCTCTTCCTTCTTATCCCTCTTATCCCTCTCTTCACATTCACAGTGGTGCCCTCCCATGCCTCCCCACTTTGCTAATCAGCGGTATCATTAAGGCTTGCACCTCCAAGACCTCCCATTTAGACCCGTCCACCCCTTCTGAACTCCCTTGCCCTGCAATACCCTCTCCCAGGAGACTCCCCCACCCGCCTGGTTTTCAGTTGACTAAAATTGGCACTTGAGAAGTTCCAACTTCTAGTAGTTGACCTACTGCTCATCCCCGCTCCCCTGATCTCGGAGCATAGGAAGGAGTGGTGACTCTCATCCAGATCTCCCCTAATCTGCACATCATCCACCAGATGCTCCCTGTTGGTCAGAATCAAGTGTAGGATATTTCCTCCCTGCCCCCCTCCCTGCACCCCGTTGCTTCTCGGTCCCTCTGGGGGAAAAACCCTCTCTCCATAGCTTTTAGGAAGCGATGGGACCCAGCTGCCACCACTAAGTATGTTTCCCAACTAATATCAGGAAAGTTGAAGTCTTCCCTTCCAAGTTTACCCTTCCAATCTGATCTGTCAAGAAGAAAATGAAGTAGCATACTGGTAAATTTCACTTTCATTCAGTTGCTGATTACTGATGTGTCAAAATGTATCCTACTCTATAACTTGTTTTTCATTATTTATATTTTGTTTTAGGAAGCCCACATAACAAGGGTGTGCAGCCAAGTGTTTTCAAAATTTCCTGATTTTGCACAGCTTAGCAAAGATGCAGCATTTGAAACTATTTCTGATCCAAAGTATAGTGGGAAGATGAAGGTAAGTAAACAAAGAGGCAGGTGGAGTATGTCTTGTGTTGCAAGCAACAGTTGGAATTAGCTTTTGTATAACAATTATGATACTGTTCAGATAAAATTTCTGGTACCATGTAATTCCAAGATGTAAACTATGTTTGCGAGCATCCACACAGCACATTGTTAAGAATGAATTTTGTTGTTGCTGAAAGGCTACGATCTCTCCCTGTCTCTGTGTTCATCCATTTAGCAGCCAACATTGACAACTGAGGCTCTGGCACTCCCAGAGTAGCACTGCAAGTTGCTTATTTGGTTGATTTCTCATTGCGTGGAGAGTTTGGTCCATAGAGCAGGTTTCTGCCATTGCCTAAGTATTTGTATATTCTCAGAATCGTGTCACCCGGCAGTCTCCTGCATTTTTATAAGTATTGTACTACTTCAGATACACTTTTTAGAAAATGAGAATAACAAGACACAAATAAAATGAAAGTTTGAGTCAGACAATGCTACTCTCAGGAGATTTGGTCTAATTTTAACCAGTCTGCCAAAGCTTCAGCGAAGACAAGGTTATGAAAATATTACAGAAGCAGTTTTAAAACTGCATTTTGCTTCAAAGTGCAAGAATTTAATGCTGATTTTTTTACATATAATAAGTTTGTGCATAACTTACATCAGTAATTCATTATAATGGAGGGATTGAACAAGACTGAAATAGCTACCTGAGAAACCAGGGCAGTAGCAAGTTTATTTTCCATGAACTACTGTAATTTCCAGATCATTTCTGCTCTGCCATGCATCCTTTTCATTTGCAAAGTACAGTAAAACCTTAGATTGTGAGTAACTTGGTCTGTGAGTGTTTTGCAAAACAAGCAAAAACTTTTTCTAAATTTTAACTTGACAAGTGAGCGATGTCTTGCAGTATGAGTATTACAAGCACTTTGCCTGCTGAGCGTCATGTCACAACTGAGCGCCGATTCTTCTCTCTTGCTGTGGGTATGTGTACAGCATTGTCTCTCTCCCTCCCCAAGCACGTCCACAATTGCACCCGCCTCCCCCCCGCACGCCCGCGATTACTCACGCCCGCCTCACATTTTTGTGATAAAAAAAAAAAAGTTACAGAATGGATCAACCTTATTTACATTGAACCTTATGGGGAACTTCGCTTTGATATACAAGTGCTTTGGATTACAAGCATGTTTCCGGAACGAATTACGCTCGCAATCCAAGGTTTTACTGTATTTTCTGTATGAAAGAAGGCAGAATAGATCTTACCTGGAGGAACTGGACATCAAATGATGTATAAATAGTTTTTCAGAGGCATGATAAGAAAACTCCAGTTGTTGTGTTCCCAAATCACATAAGAATGCATTGGCTAAAGCCAACACCTTGAATTGGGACTGGAAGCATACAGGCAGCCAATGCTAGTGAGACAGAACTGGTCTTACATTTCCAAACCTGTAGGGCCCAGTTACTAATGTGGCTGCTGCATTCTTTTTTGAGTGGCATCGTCTGAACAGTCTTCAAGGATAACCCTATGTAGAATGGATTGCAGCAATCTAATTGAGAGAAAAGTGAAGTATAGATTACTGAAACCAGGCTGCCCATGGTTAGATAGGGGCATAACCAAGCCACCAGCCAAAGCTGCCTCTAAATATAGCCAAGTATAAGCATGCACAAGGTTTTGATTGCGTCCAGTGAGAGTTTTGCTTCATGTGTTCGCAAGCCATCTCTTACTTTATCTCATCACTCTCAGCTCTGGGATGTACCACAGAGCAATTTGAGCTCTACAACACAGAAGGCACTTAGGAATGATCATGTCAACTACCTGTGGAACATTTGTGCGCTCCACAGCTTGAGCAGGACCTTTACAGGAGCACCAGCCATATCAGCCAGCTGGAACTGCCCCAGAGCCTTCTGGAAACCATCCCAGATCCATTAGCCTCTGAGGTTAGACCATCTCCCAGCCTTGCCATCATTTAATTATTCTTAGATGTGTATCTTGCTCTGAATAATTAGTAACAATGTTATTCAGTGGAGCTTGTTTATAACAGTAGATAAATTCTCTTTGTACAGCCTCAGTGCATGGTGGTATATAAATAAGGAGGGCACACGCTCACATATTGGAGGATTTGATTTCTTAGACAGACTTAGCATTATAAGTCAAAACTTATCTGGGAAATGGCAGAGAACCTGACCTAATGTTGGGGCAATGCTGTAACTTTATCTTATTGATTAGGCTTCCTGCATTACTACATGATTAAGGGTAATTCCATATTAAGCATACCACAGGAGATTATGGAGCCATTATGTTGTGAATTACTGTGAACATGCATTTCTTATATTTATATCCCACCTTTTTTCTTGCAAGAAATCCTAGGTGGATTACATAATCTTTCCACTCCTTCTATCCCTTTATCCTTTGAGGCAGGTTAAGACAAGAGTCAATGACTGGACACCCAGTGGGCATCACTGGTTGAGTGGGGACTTGACAGTGAATCTCTAACCACTATACTGAATTGGCTTTCATTATGCCCTGAATCAAAGTAAACCCATTACTTAGTAGCCTCTTGCTTCTTATTTTTTACTTATTGTTTAAATCATGGATTTTAGTGTAATTAGTATGGCTTTCCTTCTGAATGTTAAACTAATTACCCCTTTTCATATTGTTGAGCACTGTACAGTTCCCAAATTGCACAGACTTGTTTGTCTTTTTTAAACACAGAATGTCCCTTGATTCTTAGGATAGGGAAACTATTAGAGTAACATATTTTTTTTACTTTTATGACACTGGGGGTGCTGAGGAGCTCCTTTTATTCTTTAAAGGGTGTTTTATTCTTTAAACACCCTTTTTGTATTTAAGAAAATACAATGGATGTCTGAAATGGTAAAGGTTATGTTTTTACTTATTAAAACACTCCTACTATCACAATTTCTAACTGAACTGCAAACTGAAACTCTGCAAATATTTCCAATTTGTGCCTGTTTAATTCACCATGAAATTGGATGATGGTACATTACCCAGTAGGAAGGACCAGTTTGATTGCTGCTTTGTGTTCAAGATTTTATCTGCCATTATAGAATGAATCAGCTGAATACACCTCTGTCATTTCAATATTGTGCTTTTGGTTAAGTCTCTGCAAATTAAAAGGTTAAGTATTTGTCACTGAATCAATAACATTGTTTAAATATTTATTGCCCAGTGGGAATAGACTACAGACGAAGGGCAGAAAATTCCTCTTTTCCCCTTTGTGCCTTGCTTCTGCATGGTGGTGCTCTGGAATTACTGTTGCCAGATGTGGACATGCTTCTTTTGAAAATAACAGTATCACTGTTATACAAAATGCCCTGGATTATTTGCTTCCTTTACCAGAAGAAGATTGCGTGTGGGCGAATTATTGGCATTTCAAGGTCTCTGAAAAGTCTGAGAAGCCAGGACCTACTGTAAACAGAGCAATAGAGTACAGTGGGAGCAGGAAAGGGCATTCAACTGACTGATTATTTTGAGAAGGCAGGTTCCAAGAGGTTCTGAACTTGCATGTAGTGCAGCAGGTTTAAAAGGAGTGTTCACGCTGGTCAGGATGGACATAATGTTCGGATAACTTTTGAAAATAGGTGTGTGGTCATGAGCATGTAGGCAAAATGTAAATGATGGGAAGTTTGAATGCTATAGAGCTGCACATTGTAATTCTTGCAGCTGTGTTAAAATCAATTTTCTTTGACTCTTTCAAGATTTTATATTGGCATTAACAAAGCACTGTAGAGAATTCTTTGTACCATGTAGTAATATTTTGTTAAACAGTTATGTTTTACAGGATTGGTGTTCACACATATACACACAGTGCTGTGACATTTTTGTTTCCTGTAGTTTGGGAAAATCCACTGACTCTCTTAGTAGAAAAGTTAATAGGTTACTTTTTGGTCCATTTCAGTCTTGCCATAGTTGAGAGGAAGCAAAGAGAATGTATAAGGGATATGTGAATATATATTTTGGCAGGGGTTGGTTTGATACATTTTCCATGGTTCATTTCTAGGTCCTTCAGAAACTTTTAGATCATTTCAGAAGAAACAAGGATAAAGTGCTGCTTTTCTCCTTTTCAACCAAGGTAAGAGACATATTATTTGAATGGGCCCAGTTTTGGCCCATGTTAGTTTCACAGGTATAAAATCATAAGTTCATCCTGTCTAATTTCCACGTCAGTGTCCAAATTTGTTTTTAAAACTCTGCTTTAAAATTCACCTCTATTTCATACAAAACCTTTTCTAACATTCATTCATTCATTCATTCATTCCCGCCTTTTTTCCTTCCAAGGAACTCAAGGTGGCTTACATAGTTCTCCTCACCTCAGTCTTACTCACACAACAACCCTGTGAAGTTGGCAGGACTGAGAGTCTGTGACTGGTCCAAAGTCACCCAGTGAGCTCCATGGCTGGGTGGGGAATAGAATCCAGATCTCCCAGTTTCATGCTCTTAACCACTACACCACACCGTCACAATATGTAATGTATATTATGGTATATAAATAACATACACTTTTTATATTTAACATTTACTAATATATACCTTTTGTAGACATCTTTCCTTATTATAAATATTTATAGGAATGTTTTGAGCCAAGAACTGTGTTGGAAAATTCAGGCAATTGTGCAGTCTAAAAGATAACATCTACAGACAGTACATTTTTTCCTTATGCCAAATTAATAATTCAGTACATCTACAGGTGTTCAAAAAGCACTATTTTCGTCTCAAATATAAAATAAAAAATGCACATGTTAAAAGTATTTCTGTAAATTAATAAATATTTGTGACTTTGGAGAAAGAGTGATTGAAGAAAGTCTCTGGGACACTTGATCCCTCCGGTTTATTGTAGCTTTAAAATTGTGCTAATTGCCTGCTTTCCTTATCTTTTCCACAAGTTGCTTGATGTTCTGGAGCAGTATTGCATGGCATCTGGGCTAGATTACCGAAGACTGGATGGAAATACAAAGGCAGAGGACAGGGTCAAGATAGTAAAAGAGTTCAACAGCATGGAAGAAGTTAACATTTGCCTCGTTTCTACAATGTAAGAAAATGCTGTGTCTGTTTTTGCCTAGTTAGAGATTTATAGCAAATTTACTGCACTCCCATTTGATTGATCTTGCATTTTGTCACTTCCTTGGGAAGGAGCAATAACATTACTGTCTGCTGTTATAAGACTGGGAAGTAGACTGCATCACTCAAGGCTATTAGGGTAGAGACTAGAAATGACATATATCCCTTATGTATTTCCATATTACTTCAGTTTTCCTTGCTCCTTTCTGGGGATCACTTAAGATCTGAAACTGATGAATGATAATGTTAGATAAGTAAAAGTTTTTATTTCAGTTTTGTAACCAGAATAATCTTAAACATAATCATTTTCAAAGTCTGTCATTCAAAGGATGTATGAATGAGGCCTGTAATGACATGTACAAAGAGAAATCCACAAATTCATTTGAAATAATTACAGCAATGACTTTATTTTTATGGTTGCAATCTAAATTCTTTTCTCATCTTTCATGGTATAATTCTGCCTTTAAAAATGTTTTCATTTATTTCACTCCCAAAGGAGCATGCAATAAGACAAGCATAATTGTCCTCTTTTGTGCTAATATTCTACTAGCATCAAATATTACAAGACATATATTTATACTCAGTGATCTTCATGGACATTCCAGTTATATAATTACATGCTATAGCAATGTGGGCATCTCCAGAGTGTTTCCAGAGAAGGACAAAGCTGCGGTGCACAGAAGCTTGTTGTCATAATTCATGTGTGCAGTGTGCATGGCTACAACGTACCTGGGCACATTCGTGACTCTGTGTGCTTTGTTGCTTATTATTATTATTATTATTATTATTATTATTATTATTATTATTATTATTCTATGACATTAGGAAGCCTAACCAGAGTACTAGAAGAACCTGTTAATTGAACACCACTAATGCAGAAGACTATTATATTCAAGAGAGCTCCCAAGCTATGGGGCAGCATACAAATACAATAAATAAATAAAAAGCAGAATCAACTCTAGTATTTTGTTTGGACTGAAAGATTGGATATATTACTGCTATAATAATAGTATCCTATTTTGACATGAACAATGGCTTTCCACCTGTAGTTAAGACCCTCAGTCCTTCCCCTGATTCCTTACATCCCTGTAAATACTGCTTGGGCCAAGTGTTGGGCCAGTGGTTGGGCCAAGGGTGAAGGACACGGTTAATATTATACATGTATGGTAGAGGTGATCTGCTCAGCTTGCAGTCAGTTCTATGCTCTGCTTTGTAGGCAACACATAATAGTTTCATACTGTTGCAGTGCCCTTCTCAACAGGCTTATTGCTAAAATGCACATGAAAACATTAACTTCTGTGGAGTTCATAGTGTACTATCTCACCTGTAAGACTTACACTAAGAGAGAGGTAGAGAGAGGCTCCATTTGGGTGGCGCACTCTTGATTAATTGTGCTGCTACAATCACATAGCCCTACTTGTATTTCCCTACAACACTGGCACAGTAAGAGACTAGACAGCCACACTGAATCATACTACAGATTTGTTTTACACTACTCAAACCCCACCCCCACTCCCAGCAAAATATGAGATCAAGATTGGCTGCTTTGCAGGAGTGATGTAACCCATGCTTTCTCAGCCATGCTCCTTTCTCCAAGCAATACGAATGTAATAATGATGAGCACTATCCATATACAATGTTAATATCTTAAAAACTACCAATAAATCCATAAACAAATCCAATATTTCACATCAATTTATCATTGTACCGTATTTCTGTTCTCTATTTATTTTTAACAGAATGTCTTTTTTATGAGTAAGTAAAGTTGGAGAGGGTACCTTTAGCTGGAATAGTAGCCATTTCTATTGAAACATAATAGGATTACTCACCTAAAGGATTTGACCAACATGGAAGAAATGTAGCTGATTAGATTAAAAGACTTATCTTTTCAATGTTTTGTTTTGGATTATCTTCAACTAATTTAAAAGTGAAAAAGAAGGGTTGTTGGGAAGTAGAAACATAAAATGTTAAGTTCAGAAAGCTTCTCCTCCTCTGAGGTTTTTTTTCTTTTTTGGAAACATATGAAGTAACATAGTTAATGTAAACCTTACCACTTTTTTCTCTCTTGGGGAAATAATTACCTCAGGTGACCTGTATCAAACAGCATATTCTATGAATGCGCATAGCTTACATCATTTTAATATGGTTGCTATTTCCCATCAGTAACATCATGAAATTATCGGTTGTTATTTGTCAACATTTCTATTGCATTGGAACAGTTTCAGTGGAATATGTGCTGGCTCTGAAACCATACTAAGTTTGTTCCTTATACTATGTAACTTGAGGAATTTTGTTTGTTTTTTGCAGGCTTCCTAAGTTAATGGTGAGTTATTAATAGTGTTTGGGAAGGTCAAGAATGTTCTATCAATTTGTCTAGGAAAACTGCTTGTGACATATTGTATGTATAGACAGTGACTTCATATTTTACATTTTTTCACCTTTTTATTTTTTATGTTATTATAAAGGGCTGGTGGACTGGGACTCAATTTTGTTGGTGCTAATATTGTTATACTGTTTGACCCAACATGGAATCCAGCTAATGATCTTCAAGCCATTGACAGGTACAGCCCAATTGTTTTAAGTTGTTTAGTGCAGTGGATGTGGGGTTCTTCCTTGTTCTGACTCTGGAAATATTCATTTTGCAGAGCATACAGAATTGGCCAGTGCAGGGATGTGAAAGTATTTAGGCTCATATCTTTGGGAACTGTGGAGGAGATGATGTACTTACGGCAAGTTTACAAACAAGTAGGTTTTTCACCGTATCTGCATACATACTTCTTTTTCATAGCCAAATTAGCACACTTGTAGATCATTTTTTCTGTAGAATTTAAGTTGACCTAATGTAGCACAATAATCCTTAACTTGGTTTTATAGAGTTTAGACTCATTTATTAGTTCTCAAATGTAAGCTAAGCACTTTCTAGAGAGAATATGAAAAAAGAAAGAAGGAAACGGTTGAGATTTACCAGAGTACCTTCAATAAATGATCATATTTCACCCCCTACAAGTAAGGGACTGCATTCACCATGGTAGAAGTATAAATATAACAGCATAAACATTTCTGTATACTTCCCTGTACATCTTGAAAAATACCAAGTTCCTAGATATAACTGCATTGGGTCTTCTTAGCCTTTCAAATCCCATTCATCCCCTTTTATCTTGCCTTTTCCTTTCCTCCCTTCACAGTCTTCTCATAGGCAAAATCTAGACTGTAGATATTGTTGAAATTAAAACACCATATATACTAATGATAAATTTCCTGGTGAATGTTATAATTTTCTGACATTTCTTTTTGGCTGCATTTAGCTACACCTGACATTATCAGACTTTTTTGAGTCTCCTTCAATTACTCCCATTTCATAAGAGGAAGTTGGTGAACAATTTGGAATATTCAAAGTCTTAAATGTGTGTCAAGATCAGATTTATTAGTTGAGGTCAGGCTGTTACATACATTTCAACTTACTACAAATGTAAACACATGTGATATTTATACTCTGTGTTTTGGCTGCAGTCCTGCTCAAAACTGGATTCAGCACAACTTTTGCAGCCTCACTGTGCATAGGAATGTAGCCTCTGCTGTCTATATCAGAGGAAGGCAATGTGTGGCTTAGTCACCACTGCCACTCCCATACACTTTCTGTCCAACCCCATCATCTCCAAACCACCTTGGATCTGCATCTTGTTGACTGTGGGGAAATCATACAGTCAAGGGTAAGCCTTGGTGGTCCAGCTGTAGTTTATGGACATAGCTTTCCTTTGGTCCACATTGTCTAAATTCTTGCTTGATCCTTGAGGATCATAGAATAGTAGAGTTGGAATGGGCCATGAAGGCCAGTGGGTCCAACCCCCTGCTGTTTCAGGACACCAAGTTAACACCATTCCACTCAGATGGCTGTTCAATTTCTTTTTGAATGTCTCTAGTGTGGGAGAGCCCACCATCTTTCTAGGCAGCTGGTTCCACTGTTGTATAGCTCTGACAGTGAGGAAGCTTTTCCTGATATCTAGTCTGAATCTGGGTTTTTGTAACTTGCAATGATTATTTCCACGTCATACACTCTGGGATCAGAGAGAAGAGATCTTGACCTTCTTCTTTGTGACAGCCTTTGAGGTACTTATAGAGGGATATTTATTTATTTAAAACCTTTACACCCCATCCTATACATAAAGTCTCAGGACAGTTCAACAACAAAGGCACAGCATATATCATGTCCCGCTTAGTCTTCTCTTTTCAAGGCTGAACATCCTCAGTTCTCTCAGTCTCTCCTTGTAGGGCAGTGTTTCCAAACCCTGGACACTTTTCCATATGGGACTCAAAGCAGCAACCGTACAAGTTTTCAACACCTTTTAAAAGCACACTGTTTCCCTGAATGAAAGATGAGATTGTTACCTTCTGGTTTTATTCTTGTAGTGATTCTTATGATGTAGTGATTTTAAATGTTGTGAACTCTTAATTGTTCAGTGTTTTTGGTTATGTGATATGGTTTATTTAATGTAAACTATTTTGGAATATTAAGTCATTTGAAAGCATTGTAAATACATTAAATTATATGCTATTTATTTATTTACTTAGATTTCTGTGCTGTCCAACAGGCAAAGCATTCTGGGCAGTTCACAAAAATTTAAACTGCAAAATATTACATGATAAAATACAATATAAATCTTTAAAAGTGTGGCATAAAATAGTAGTCAAACCTAGAATAAAATCTGGCAGAAAGGCAAAACTCTAAAGCACAGTCATAGATATAAAAGAAAAGTAACTGAGTCCTGAGACTCTTGGTAAGAAAATGGTATAGAAAAACTTTAAATGAAATGAAATGCCTGGAAAAATAATGTCTTCAAATGGCACCAAAGGCACCAGGTGGAAAGGGCACATTGGGTCCATGGGAGACTTCAGACATTTTCTTTCCTTTCCAATAAAATTGCTCCGGTTAATAGTATTCCACAATAGTTGCATCTACCAGAGAAAATAAAACAGAGTATTTCTTCTTTAGGAATTTCTGCCTGGTCTGGCTAGAGCTGTGTAGATACTTTAAATGTCAGGAAAGTCTGGCATGTTACTGCAAGAAAACACTTCTGAAATCTTTTGTATTGCTTTGTTTAGCAACTGCATTGTGTGGTGGTGGGGAATGAGAATGCGAAGCGTTATTTTGAAGCAGTGCAAGGATCAAAAGAACATCAAGGAGAGCTTTTTGGTATCCGTAACCTTTTCAAGCTTCAGGACCATGGATCCTGCCTTACAAAAGCAATTCTGGAGGTGCGATTTGGCCTTTTGAATATCTTTATGTATTCTTACTGTATCTTACTATGTTGTTGAAGGAATATGCATTTTGAAATGAAAGAAGATTTTCATAATAGATTTTCAAATTACTACTCATCCCTTAAGACTAATCACCCCATAAGAAACATGAGAATAATGCTGTTTTATGTTCTGGCAAGGGTAGACTGGGAACCCAGGAGACTTCAGACATTTCCTTTTCTTTCCAAGCAAGTTGCTCAGGTGTTATTCCACAATGGCAGCATCTGTTGCCACTACATAAATTCGCTTGATTTTAATTGTTCTTATGTACATTTTTCAGTTATGTACCCTTTCAAGAAAATCTCAGATATGAAGGTCTTTCAGCTCTTTGATTAGTAGTACAGTACTGCAGTTGGGACTTACAAAAAAAGAACTTGCAGTGTGGAGTGTACCTGTTCCTGGTTCTGGCCAGTTTTGTTATTTTCGAGGATACTCCATTTCTTTTCTGTCCTCTATTTTTCTCCTCCCCCACCCTCACAACGGACGACATTCTGTGGGTACTGAGCATGTTCAGTCTTCATTAAGCTGTTTTTGGTGAGATTTTCCCTTTGGTTCCCCCACTCTTAGAAATCTTTTGTACTTCTGCAAACCTTGTGTCCAGGAAATATGAACTAGTTCAAACAGAGTCAGATCAGTGGTGCATGTAACTCAGTATTGTCTAGTCTGAATGGCAGCAGCTGCCCGGGGTTTCTGACAAGGGTCTACCCCAGACCTAGCCAAAAATGTAGGGGTTTATACCTGCGAGTATTTGCATGGTTGCTATGTGTTCTGTCATTGAGTTAGAATCCTTGGTTCCTCACGCTTGCTGTTAACTTGCTCTTGTGCTTTTTTTTTTTTTTGCTACATAAGGGTTAGCATTCAGAGAATAAGTTCACCATTAGTATATACTGGTTTCCCAGGCCACTGCCCTTCAGGTATTTTGAGCTTCAGTTCTCATCAGCCCTGTCTGCCATGGCCAGTGGTCAAGAATGTTGGGAATAATAGTCAAATATATTGGGAGTACACCAGGTTGAAGAAGGCTGGTTCATGGGATACAGGACAGTAATGTATAGAAAGGGTACAGACTAGAACAATGAGTCTGTGCTACAAAGACTGAACCATTATAGCATGACTTTGCTGTTTTATAGAGGGTTGGCCAAGTGGAAGCTGGTGTCCTGACAGCTACTTCGTGGTTAAAAGAGGAACCCCAGCGACATGAGACCGAAATGGTAAATTGTCAAGTTTCAAGATGCTGTTGAACTATTGAAAAAGGAAGGATTTGATTGTAGTCTTTCTTGTCTTATATATCACAGAACATACCACTTCACAGAATTTCTTACCTCAGGATAAAGCCAGAGCTGTCAGCTGGAGGGGGGTAAGAGGAAGTAAGACAGAAAGCCAGACTAGGATTGCAGGGTTAGGAGTTTGTCAAACATACATTTATTTCATAATGTTCTGTGTGTATTGTGCAAAGTTCCTTTTCTAGTTTATGTTTTTTTTTCTTGCAGCATATATATTTTGCAACTGACAAGTGAAAATGTGTAGCTAGATAGTTAAGATTAGAATGTCATGTATCTATTTTATTTACAGCATTTATATCCCTTCTTTTAGCCAAAAAGGATCCCAGAGATTGAGATAAGTAGCATATCAGTTTCTGCCCGCTTTTCTACACACCAGTTTAGAGTATATGGTACCAAATAGTACATAGACATACCATACCAACAAAATACACATTGCATAAGAAAGCTAACAGTATTTTTTAAATATATGTTTGAAAAGAGTAAATAGTGGAAATGGTGACACCATGATGGGTGCATGGCTGTAATAGCCTCTAGGAAATGTTACAGCCAACCGCTCTTGCATCCCAATTTGCTTGGTATTGGTAATGTTAAGTTCTCTATTTTATGTCTCAGGGTTCCTTGCCCACTTATTATAACCTATGGGCTGGATCCAAGCATGTTCTTTTGTGAATAGAATTGGACCTCTCATTTGTAGAAGGAAATTCCTGGAAAAGGAAATGGATATGTCAATATTCCTCTCCTTCCTTCTGCTTTATCTTTCACTCTATTCTAGAAGTTGTCCTTATTCTTTGGAGCACTTTTTCAGGAGCTTCAGGGAGATGGAGAAATCAGCAAAAATTGCTTTCCCAGCCCTTCCACCCACTAGCATATCCCATGTTCATTGTCAGTCTGTATCAAACTCTATTTTATTAATTATGATTATATGACATGTAAAGATTGAACATTTTATTTATTTATTTAAAGTTTTTGTATGCCGTCCCCTTGCTATATAGCCTCGGGACGGCTCACAGAAATAAATAAATATAATACAATACAATTAAAACCTGGAAACACCCTGGCTGCACAATTAAAATCTATAAGTATTAGACATTGTTAAAATATTGTTTGAATAAAAAGGTCTTGGCCTGGTGCCGAAAAACAAATAATGACAGCACCAGGCGGACCTCTCTGGGGAGCGCATTCCACAGATGGGGCGCCACCGCAGAGAAAGCCCTCCTCCGGGTACTCTGCTTCCTGATATGTCTCACGGAGGGCTCCTGGAGGAAAGCCTCTGCTGCCGATCTCAAGGGGTGGGAGGGCAAATATGGACTTATTAGTACTTATACATCTTAAATGATGGGCTTATTTCATAGTTTTTTATTTTACATAACTATGGGCTTATTTCATAGTTCTTTATTTTACATGACTTCAGCATGGAGAACATGGCTGTGAAGATCAAGATGCTATTGAACTATTGAAAAAGGAAGGATTTGACTGTAGCAGCGACTTCAGTGATGAGGAACCTCTAAGAACTTCGAAGGTGAAAGCAGAAAGCCGCACATCAAAAAATGCAAAAATTCTACAGGGACAACTTACCTTAATGCAGTGTGGATTTCCTAAGCTTCTAGAAAACAGAATTAAAAAAGCTGAGAATGGGAAGTGCATGGGTACCCATGGTGATGAAAATGCTGATGGAGTATCTGTGGGAGAAACATCCAAAGGAAGTTCCCAAAGTAGCTATTCCTTGAAAAGTGAGGAGCACTGTAGCATTTCAGGACATCAGACATCCTCTGTGTCACCATTCAGAATGGAAAAACAGAAAGTGCATGGTGAAATTGCACATTGTGATTACCCCATTTTACCACTTTCAGAGGAAGAAAAAGACATTGGAAATAAATGCAAAGACATACGTATTTTGGATCAAGTTGAGGTAGTTATGGAGACTGAAGAGAGTTCAACGGAAAGTGATGATATTATTTTTCCATCTCAATTTCCTACTGATCAGAAACATGCTAAACGCTATCAAGGAACAATAATAAACCTTGAATGTTTAGATAGAGAAAAAAACCATATGCTTCCATCACAGAAAAACCATTTGACTTCTGTACACAGTTATCTGAACGTTTCACCTCTCAGCAAAATAAAATCATCTGCAAATATCAAAAACAGCACAATTATTAAAGAAGCAGTAGACATTAGTGATGAGTCTGATGATTTTGAGATTTTCAAATCGGGAAAGCAGGAAGTCACCGGCACTGTGAAAGAAAAACAACTGTATAAAAAGGAACACAAGTCCTCCAGAATGATTCAGCATAACAGGCATTCGGGTTTGGGTAAACAGAATGCTGATTATCAGAATATAGAGGAGTTTTCATCTCCAGAGGACAGCTTCTCGGTTAGGAAGACTGTTAATAAACAAAATCAAAAGCTAAAAAAAGATAGAATTCATTTTGACCCTAAACTTCTGAAATATGCCAAACATCCCTCCCAGATATTGAGAAAACGAAATCATTCCAGTAGATTCCAGACTTCCTTGAAGAAGCAATCAAGCCAAGAACAAAAAGTGGGATCATTCGACAGACTGTTTGGTAACTGCATATATATCACAAAATATTTTTTTCTGGGAATAGTGGCTGTAAATTAACTCTAAAAGGGATTTGCTGTCTGAACAATGCAGTTAGTACAACAATATACTCAATAACCAAAAGTATTTTGTGGGTGATGTTGGGACAGTGCCAGAGCAGGGGGCAGGAATACATACTTAAAATTTTCTGCAGTGCTGCAAATGTATGCATTTACAGCAAGACAATTTTAGACATTTCTTTACAGACAAAAACCTGGTGGATTATTTTATCAAATAATTTAAAAGCCTATTTATCGCAACAATTCAGGCTTTTTTTGAAATTGCCATTTGAGTTTTAAATAAATGAAAAATTTCAGACAGGTTTACTGCCTGTCTGCGTTACCATGTAAACTTCATTTTGTTTCAGTTAAAACCTTCTGTTTTACTGGTTTTCTAAAAGTCTCAATCTTTAGCTTCCCATTTAAAGTATTCTCACTGGTGGAAAGTAGTACTTGTTATATATATTTGGTACTTATGGACAATACAGAACCAACTGTGTTCTTTATGACTATTAGAATTGACCTTCCCATAATGTTTTAAAACTGTCAGTGCTTTAAAACAAATTCGTCCTTACCTTGCAGATTGCATCTTCCTTAAAAATGGATAACATGTCAAGTTTGTAGCTTTCAAATATGTACTGTGCATATATCCTATACCAGTGGTTTTCAACCATCAGTCTGTGGACTGGTGCTGGTCCATAACAAGTTTTCTGCTGGTCTGTGTAGGCACCACATCCCTCTTGCTGCAAACCAGTGTGGGGGCTGGCTGTGCTCCACCACTTCTTCGGTTGGCATTGTGTTTGGGGAGGGGGGGTGTGCTGGTCCTGCCAGAGGGGGAGAGATGTTTTGTTTCTGCCTCAGCAGTTCTTGAGGTGGTTTTCCTGTTTTTGCTGGTCCCCAGGTGTGGAAAGGTTGAAAACACAACTGACCTATAACAAACTAGAATGAATGAATACTGGTTGAAAATACATCATAGAATTTTGTGTAAAACTTAAAGTTTTACTGAATATTTATTTATGAGAAAATAATTTCAAGATGTTACACTTACGCACTGTGTGTTTCTTTTCAAAAACTAGATGATGTTGCTGAAGTGTCCTATGTTCATTCAAACCAAACTGTAGTTGGTTCAAGCAAGGCTGAAAATCAGATGAGTCGGTGGGCAGTGCGAGATGTGTTTGAACTGAAGCAGTTTTCCCAACTCCCTGCAAATATAACAGTATGCAGAGCCAAGGTAAAGAGAAAGATTTGAGAAATGTTTTCTATTACTATTGTTAGTTTTAAAATATTTTTTAACCTCAGTATTTTCCTTGTTTTTAAACGTGGCTTTCCATTACTGGCCACCTTTAGTGATCAAAGACCCAGTTTCTTGCAGGAGATGCCTCCAACAGCGTCCTAGCAAAGTGAGTGTAGCTATTTTTGTTCCAAGGTTGCTAGGAATTGGACAGATTATTGTGTTTTGAAAGACACTTTTTTTCACTTGAAAATGTTTATAGAAGGTATGTCAAGGATATATTGTATACCTTGTTATACTTAAGAAAAAAGGGCTATTAAAAGAAACAATGTGTACATATGCTTATGGTTTATGGATTATAGATAATTATAATTATAATCCATAATTTTGATATTATTGGTTGTTTTCATTAGTTTTATGTTGTACCTCCTTCTCATTCTTACTCTATTTTATATTTAGGTTATCCTATTTATTTTCTTTAATTATCTTTATTAACTGTTTACTTAGACTTTATTGTTATTGGTTTTATTGTATTTGCTG